ACTTTCCCAGGTTGCTGAACGCATTGACGTTGACCGTGCAGATCCTCCAGACCCCACACTTCTTGCTAGGACTCCTCCTCCATCTGCTTGACCTCCGTCCGCATCTTCTTGGCGTCGCCCAGCAACTGCTCCGCTGCTTCCCTCTTGGCGGGGTCCTCAATCCCGCACGTGATGTCCTGCCACGCTTGCTGCGCCGCCTGCGACACGCCAGGCCCCTCCTCCTTGGGAGCGCCACCTGCTGCGCTGCTGCTGGCACCGCCGAGGGCACAGGGACCGCCGCTGCCACAGGCGCACGGGGAGGCGCCCACGCTGCGGCGGCGGCGCCTGGCATGCCGCTGAGCTCCGCAAGCACCTTCCCGAGCTTCGCGATCTCGTCCCTCGACAAGCCGCCGATCGCCTCCTGTATCGACTCCAGGGAGGCTGCTGGTGCTGCTCTCGGCTCGGCGGCTGCTGCCGCCGCCTCAGCCTCCTCGGCCGCCACCCTGGTGCGCTGAGCCGCCAGCGCCTCGCGTGCCTTGGCCGCCGCCTCGTCGCACTCCTTCCGCAGCAGCACCAACTTGTCCGCGAGGCTGGCCGACTCGTTGATGGCCGCCACCGCCTTGGCCTTTGCCTGCTCCAGCTGGCCCTCCAACTTCTTGACCTGCAAGACCTTGGCGTCCGCCTGCACCTGGGCCGCCTTGACCGTCTTGTCCTTGGACAGCTCGGCCCCCAGTCCGCCCTCACGCAGCCTCCGTGCCTGCAGAAGCTGCTCGCGGACCTTCGGGGCCAGGAGCGCGGCGGTGAGGGCGAAGCCGGCCTCTGCCATGCACACGAAGCCACTGCGCTGCTCCTCGCTGAGCTCCACGGCGCCACCAGCGTCACGGCCGCCACCTTCTCCGCCTCGCCACCACGGGGCACGTGTGGGAGGCTTGCCGCCGCCTGCCCCACGCCCGCCGCGCCCGCCGCCAGCGCCGCCAGGAGCACCACCACCGCCGCCGCCTGCAGGCCACCCCCGCAGCGGAGGAAAGGCGCCCAGCTGCCGCGGCGCTGGCCACCCCGCAGCTTGGCACCCCTTGCGACAGCACGCCCTCTCGGCGAAGTTGTAGTAGTCGCACACCGAGCACTTCCACTTCGCAGGCCACGCCGCGCGGCCGCCTCCCCCACGCCCAGCACCCATGCCGCCGCTCCCCGCCATGGCGCGCGTGAGTTTGGAAGGAGGCCGCCCGACTGCCAGAGTGCACACACTCTTGCCTGCGCACGGTAGTGCGATCCAGTGAAGCACGGAGGCTGAAAGCCCCCCGAGCAACCCATCTTGAGCCAAAATGGCTACGGAGGAGGAAGAGAAGGAGGAGGAGGATGAGGAGGAGGAGGAGGAGGACGAGGACGAGGAGGAAACAGGGGAGGAGGAGGAGGAGGAGGAGGAGGAGGAGGAGGAGGAGGAGCAGGAGCAGGAGGAAGACGACGACGACGACAAGGAGGAGGAGGAGTAGGTGGAGGAAAAGGAGGATAGCATTAGAGCGGGAGGATCATGAGGAGGAGGAGGGGGAAGACGAAGTGGAGGAAGACAAGACAAGGAAAGGGACGATGGATATGACGAGGAACAAGGAATAATGATAGGAGGAGGAATGCGAGGAGGAGGAGGAAGATGAGGAGGAGGAGGAACCGGGGGAAGGGCGAGGATGAGTATGAGCATGATGATGAGGAGGAGGAGGAGAATTATGAAAAGGACGAGGCAAAGGATGATGAAAAGGACGAAACATACGGAGTACGGAAACGGAGGAGGAACATGAGGAGGATAAGGACGTGGAGGAGGAGATCGGGGAGGAAGAGGAGGGATAGCAGGAAGATGTTGATGTTGATGCTGATGCTGATGCTGCTGAGGATGATGACGCTGATGCTGATGATGATCATGATGATGAGGAGGAGGTGGAGGAGGAGGAGGGAGAGGACAATTCATATTTCTAGTCGTAATATTACGGATCAGAGACATATGACGAGCACGATACAAATAAGTCCAACACTATTTCCCAACCCTCCTGCGTTGGGTTCTCGTTTTGAATAGAGCACTGCTCGCGCGAACCTTCCCGCCCCCTCCCGTCCCTCTCTTCCCCCTGCCTTCTTCCCCCCTGCCTTTCGCCTCGCCTGTCGCTGCGTGCCAGCTGGGGGGCTGCGATCTGTGAAATTGTCGCCACTTTCGAGGGCTGCTGGGGGGGCCCAGCACAGTGGGTACCCACGGCGGGTTCAAATGGGACCTCGCCATCCCTGGGGGGCTGCGATCTGTGAAACTGTCGCCACTTTCGAGGGCTGCTGGGGGGCCCAGCACAGTGGGTACCCACGGCGGATTCAAATGAGACCTCGCCATCCCTGGGGGGCTGCGATCTGTGAAACTGTCGCCTGTTTCGAGGGCTGCTGAGGGGCCCAGCGCAGTGGGTACCCACGGCGGATTCAAATGGACCTCGCCATCCCTGGGGGGCTGCGATCTGTGAAACTGTCTTTCGAGGGCTGCTGGGATGCCTCTGCTGCGACTCACGCCACTTTCGAGGCCTGCTGGGGGGCCCAGCACAGTCCCAAGACCTCGCCATCCCTGGGGGGCTGCGATCTGTGAAACTGTCGCCACTTTCGAGGCCTGCTGGGGGGCCCAGCACAGTGGGTACCACGGCGGATTCAAATTAGACCTCGCCATCCCTGGGGGGCTGCGATCTGTGAAACTGTCGCCACTTTCGAGGCCTGCTGGGGGGCCCAGCGCAGTGACCCACGGGCGGATTCAAATTAGACCTCGCCATCCCTGGGGGGCTGCGATCTGTGAAACTGTCGCCACTTTCGAGGCCTGCTGGGGGGCCCAGCACAGTGACCCACGGCGGATTCAAATGGACCTCGCCATCCCTGGGGGGCTGCGATCTGTGAAACTGTCGCCACTTTCGAGGCCTGCTGGGGGGCCCAGCACAGTTTCAAATTAGACCTCGCCATCCCTGGGGGGCTGCGATCTGTGAAACTGTCGCCACTTTCGAGGCCTGCTGGGGGGCCCAGCACAGTGACCCACGGCGGATTCAAATTAGACCTCGCCATCCCTGGGGGGCTGCGATCTGTGAAACTGTCGCCACTTTCGAGGCCTGCTGGGGGGCCCAGCACAGTGGGTACTCACCGCGGACTCAAATTAGACCTCGCCATCCCTGGGGGGCTGCGATCTGTGAAACTGTCGCCACTTTCGAGGCCTGCTGGGGGGCCCAGCACAGTGGGTACCCACCGCGGATTCAAATTAGACCTCGCCATCCCTGGGGGGCTGCGATCTGTGAAACTGTCGCCACTTTCGAGGCCTGCTGAGGGGCCCAGCACAGTGGGTACCCACGGCGGATTCAAATGAGACCTCGCCATCCCTGGGGGGCTGCGATCTGTGAAACTGTCGCCATTTTCGAGGGCTGCTGAGGGCCCCAGCACAGTGGGTACTCACCGCAGACTCAAATGAGACCTCGCCATCCCTGGGGGGCTGCGATCTGTGAAATTGTCGCCACTTTCGAGGGCGGCTGGGGGGCCCAGCACAGTGGGTACTCACGGCAGGTTCAAATTAGACCTCGCCATCCCTGGGGGGCTGCGATCTGTGAAACTGTCACCCACGGCCCGTTCAAATGTGACCTCGCCATCCCTGGGGGGCTGCGATCTGTGAAACTGTCGCCACTTTCGAGGCCTGCTGGGGGGGCCCAGCACAGTGGGTACTCACCGCAGACTCTGATTAGACCTCGCCATCCCTGGGGGGCTGCGATATGTGGAACTGTTGCCACTTTCGAGGGCTGCTGAGGGGCCCAGCGCAGTGGGTACCCACCGCAGACTCTGATTAGACCTCGCCATCCCTGGGGGGCTGCGATCTGTGAAACTGTCGCCACTTTCGAGGGCTGCTGAGGGGCCCAGCACAGTGGGTACTCACCGCAGATTCAGATTAGACCTCGCCATCCCTGGGGGGCTGCGATCTGTGAAACTGTCGCCTGTTTCGAGGGCTGCTGAGGGGCCCAGCACAGTGGGTACTCACCGCAGACTCATATTAGACCTCGCCATCCCTGGGGGGCTGCGATCTGTGAAGCTGTCGCCACTTTCGAGGGCTGCTGAGGGGCCGAGCGCAGTGGGCTTCCCGCACGTCTTTCTCCTGCTCTTCGTTCCCGGCTCCCCATGTCGTATTCGAGCCTGTAGTTGTCGCCCTTCGTTCTTGTATGGTTTTCCTGCTCATCATGCCATTGGCGCGTGTCCCAAGTTGCCTACATATCAAACAACGGATCCTGCAATTGGATGGTCCGTGCAAGTTTCGGCCAACTCGTGGTTTCCCATGATACCAATGGGTTGGGTACGCCACGGGGTAATTATAATGAAACTCATGATGTTAATATTGATAATGCCACGAAGAATGAGATGCAGGAGAAAATGCACTACGACACCGATTATTAGTATTAATAATACGATGTGTACTCACTATTGTACCTATGCTACTACTAACAATCAGTATAGTAACAATGGTACGACTTGTTCTACTTAGCAGTAATGCTGCGACTGGGAACAATATTCTGAATGCGAAAACGAATGCGAATACGAATGATGACAACAAATGAAGCATCTCCCACCACATAATAAGAACACGAACGATCACATTTACAATCGTGTCAATCGAATCCGTTGTGCCAATGCGACGAAAGGGAAACGATATAACAACTCGTAGTGGCAATATCATGATACTGTTAACACTATTAGTACTACTACTACTACTACTACTACTACTACTACTACTACTACTACTACTACTACTACAAGCCATCATCATCATCATCATCATCATCATCATCATCATCATCATCATCATCATCATCATCACCATCATCATAACGACAGTACTAGTATCACTAATGTTATTTATAATGCCAATCATGAGTAATATTGATAAACACGGCACGAAGAGGAAGGTGGAGGAGGAGGAGGAGGAGGAGGAGGAGGACGTGATGGAGGAGGAGGAAGAAGGGCAGGAACGGTGAGGCGCGGTTCAGGCCGCCCGCCCGGGGAACCGCTATCGCGCCTCGCGTCATCGGCACGGCTGGGACGAGCGGGCGGCCGATTTGGTGGCCGCCGGCGGGGAGGCCAGCACTTGCCCGACGCTGCTCCGCCAGTCCACTCCGCCTCTCCTGCCGCTCTCTCTCTCTCTCTCTCTCTCTTTTGGAGGGCGCCACGTGCACGCCTGCACCTTAGGGGGCGGAGGGTATGTTCGGGGGGGGCGCGTAGGTGTTAGGATGCTCTCGTCAGTTCTCGGTGGGTTTCCAGCCTCGGGGTACTCTCCATCGGCTGCGCCTCGCCGGGAGGCGTCTCTTCCCGAACTGCCGCCAAAGACCCCGGGCTCTAACCCGAAAACCGATTTTGACCTAGCGTTTCGGGCCAAGTATTGGCGAGTTTGCGCGGCAGGTTGGTGCCACCGCGAAGTTCGATTGCATTTGGACGGTTTTTCGCCTTCTCGTTGGCCCCCTCCTGGATCCTCCTCGCAGCCACGGCTGGATTCGTTTTGACAATATGTGTTCGCTTTCCTGGGCATTCGCGCAGTGAGTGGGGGCGCGGGTTCGGCCAGGCCAGTGTCAGTGTAGTTAGATTTTTTCTTTGGCGCCTCTGCTCTCGTTTCCTATCCGCCTCCCTCAACCTCCCTCCTCTTTTCTTGCTATCGTGTTGCCTCCTCCTTCGTCTTCCTCCGTCTTCTATCCATTTTATGTTTCTGTCATCACTTCGAGGGTGCCTGACCCAGTGCGCAGCCGCGACGCGAACCCCCCAGCGCAGCTATCAGTTTTCTCTGCGCGTGGCGAGACTGAACACACCGCATCCCGCGGCGTGACTGATTCGCGCCATCAAATTTCCGCACGCGCCGCATTGGTTCTTGAGAGCTTTCGCCGAGTGATTCATATACGACTGCAACCCAAACCGACAGGCAAGGGCCGCAACACCTCCTGTCCAGAAAACCTTTTTGCGTGTGTCAGGAGGCCTGCACCGCTGCTCTCTAAATCAGTGGCGGCGCAGGCTGGACCGGGTTGGTGCAGGCTACAGTCCAAAGACACCCAACATATTTCGAAGCCGCCTGCCAGCAACACCGCTCCAACCAGTTTCGGTTCAGAAGCAAACTGATGAAATTGTGCAGGCAACTCAGGACCAGCTATTCGGAGCTGCATATTGCCATCTCGCGCAGTACGGCCATCAGCCGTGACCCACCAGGGTTCACGGTCCCCGCCGTTGCCCACGAGGATAACAGCCTCGACGCACCAAATTGGAACGTCCCGATCGCGCCTACGCTCAGGGGGGCCGACCACGGGATCTCACGCACCAGTCGCATCCCACAACGCCCTGCCGAGCGTCAAGCGCCATCAGGCTACGACGAAGATTCGGACGAAGAACGGTTCGAAAAGTGACCCCAACCAAGTGACCAGGGGATCTCCGATCAGAGCAATGCCCAGCTTCGCAGCCTCGATGCGGAGCAGCAGAGGCTCGCGGACATAGCAGTGTGCCCTGAAACCACGGTCACCAGCCAGGCTACAGTGGGCCCAGCAACGCCACCTCTTCGGAAAAGGGGCCGCTTCCGCCCATGCAGAGCAGTCCCGCCTGAGCACGGGCCTGATGGCCTCCATGGCAAAGACGCGAGCTGACGACTCGGCCGTCGACTGGGGCCCCGACGAGGAGGCGGACCTGCCGAACGGCGCGCAGGTAGCGCGGAGGCCCGGTCGCCCAGCATCGGGACTGAGCCTATGCCCATCAGGGTCAACGCAAGTTCCGCCAGGGCCGAAGTGCTGCCCGACACCGCAGGCTTCGCCCCGCTACCTGCGCTTCGGCCCGTCCAGGGAGGCGCCGAGGCAACGGTCGCCAGCCAGGTAAAGAACCCCAATGACGGCTATCGCGGCGCCGACGCGAGGTGCACGGTGGATCCGAATCAGTACTGGGTGGTCTTGTTGACCATTGGCGAAACTGCCGCCCTGCCCACGTCAAGCTCGTTCCCTCGCCCACCCCTGCAGCCGGCGAGGCGTAACTCTGCGCCGACGTCGGTGGCCAGGTTAGCAAAGGCGCGAGACTCGTGGACAGCGGGGCCTACGGCTGAGCCATCGGGCCCGGCTGCGGCGCCGACGGGGTTTAGTTCGCGGCAACGGGCGCCCCGGCAAGCTCCGCGAACGTCGACGTGGTCCGCGACCCCCCGTCGACCCACTATCCCGAATCCTGGGGGGCGGCGTCGAGGAGGCCCCGCGCGAGCGCATCGGCGCACCCCCCCGCGGGTGAAGGATGCCGACGACGCGCCGACCGGCCCCGACTCTTCCCCGCGCGCTGCCGCGGCAGGGGCGCTGGCGTTGCTCGCGGCGCCCGGCGCGTTCTGCAGCGCGGTCTTTTCTCTTTTCCGGACCGTCGCGGGGCGGTCGCTGGCCCCTGCTTGCCGCAGCTCGCTCACTTGGCTGCGCTTCGCGGCGCGCCGCCTTGGTGCGTGAATTCGAACCTGATCGGGCGAGCGCGCGCCTGCTCCTCCTTGCCCTCGCGGCCGCAGCCGGCCCGCCCGGGCTCGCGGCCGCGACTGCGATGGGCAGCGTGAGGGGCGCCTAATTTTTTTTGCGCGGCACGTGCGGCGGCCGCCGCCAGATGCCCTGCGCTGCCTAGCGCATGGGCCGAGCACCAGAAGCCCCACTCTCGCGAGCACGAAGAGCGCCGCGTCTGACGGTCTTCGAGACGCGCGTCGGGGGCCGACACCTCGGCGCCGCGCGGCGCGGCGGGGTCGGGCGCCGAGACGTCGCGCGCCAGAGCAAAATCCAGATTCAGCAGCATCGCATCCCTGAGCGAGGCGACCAGTGCAATGGGCACCCCGTCTTCGAGCGGCTCATCCGGGGCCATCGCGGCGCCGCGCAGCGCGACGATGCCGAGCGCCGCGGCGTCGCGCGGCGCGACGAGCTCCAGCCCCGGCAGGTTCGCACCCGCGAGCGAGACGATCAGCGCATCTAACGGCGCGCCCTTATGCGGCGCGGCCTGCGATCAGCGCCCGGGCGCTGGGGGGCGCGACGGAGTTGGGCGCCGGGGCGTTGGGCAGCACGGCAGGATCCAACACCGACAGCTTCGCATTTATGAGTGAGACGAGGAGCGCGACGAACGCCACGTCTTCGAGCTGCGCACCAGGGGCCACCGTCTAGACTTTGAGCAGGACGACGACATCCAGCCTGGCGGCGATGCGCATCGAGACGAGACCCAGCGCCAGCAATCGCATCTACGAGCGATACGAGCCGCGCAACGAGCATCTTGGTTTTCAGCGCCACGCCCAGGGCCATCGCGGTGCAGTGGCACGATGAACCCGAGCAACGCAACGTCGAGTGCAGACGGATAATTTCAGGTCCTGCAGTTTCACCTCTGCGAGTGAGATGAGCGGTGCGACACACACCGCGTCTTCGAGTAGCGCGCCTGCGACCGGCGCCTCGACTCCGAGCAGCGCGACGGAGTTGAGCGCCGAGGCGTTGGGCAGCGCGACGGGGCCCAGCGTCGGCACGCACGTCGACCTCGCGTCTGTCGCCAGCGCCTCGACGCTGCGCGGCGCGAGGGGGCGGGGCGCCGCGGCGTCGAACAGCGCGACGGGGGGCAGCGCCGGCGCCCTCGCATTCACGAGTGCCGAGCAGCGCTATGATTCCCGCGCTGGCTCGCCAGGGCTCGCGCGCATGGGCGCCGGCATCTTCGCGCTCGCGATTGTGGCGAGCAGCGCAGCGGACAGCGCGTCCACCGGCAGCGCCAGCGCGACCAGCACTGGGGCACCGCGCAGGTCGACGGAGTCAGTGCTGCCGCGACGGGCAGTGCCACGGGGCCCAGCATCAGCTGCTTCGCGCCGAGTGGGGCGAGCAGCGCATGGAACCCTACGCCAACCAACGACTCATCTGTCACCGGCGCCTCCGCACCAAGGGGGGCGACGGAGCGGGGCATCGCGACGCTGTGCAGCGCGACGGGGCCTTGCACTAAGTGCCTCGCATCTACTAGTGGGACGACAATTACAGCGACCTCCACATCTGTCAGCAGCGCGCCACGGACCAGCATTTCGACGCGGAGCAGCACGGCGAAAACCGACTTAGAGGGGGCCCAACATCTATAGCCTCACATCTGCGCGCGAGACGAGCTGCGCGACGCGTATCTCGCCCACGAGCAGCACGTCCAGAACCACCTCTGGGCCGCGCGGCGCAACGGTGCTCAGCGCCGCGGCGTGATATAATCAGCTCAACGCGCCGTTTTCTTCGCAGCCCCGGTCGCGCCGAGCCTCGGGGGCGTCTCTCAGGCTCGCCCGGGCGGCTGCTGAGAGCGCGCCGCCGGCGGAAGCGCCGCCTGGGCGAGGGCGCGGGGCCGGCCCCCCGGGCGCCGCGGCCCCTCGGCTCAATCCCCCCCCCCACGGGCGGTTCACGACCTCGCGGCCCCGCGCCGCGCAGGGGTCCGCCGGGCCACCCCTGGGGCCTCCCCGACGCTTGACAGAGGAGCGGGGGCGGGGTCGGCGCGGGGGCGCGACCTCGCGGGGCGCGCCGGCGGCGTCGCCGCGCGCGTCGCGACGCGCTCGCGCGCCGCGCTTCGCGCCGCGGCGCGCGACTCACAACGCCGCGACCACGGGCTGCGCGACGGAGTCGGTTCCGCCTTGGCGGGCCTGGCCACACTGCGCCTTGGACAAGCACCCCGGGCTCGCCCGGGCGGCCGAGCAGGAGGGGCGACGGCCGCCCGATGCTCCCAGCGGAATTCCTGTCAGGGCGACAGGGCGAGAGAAGGCCCCCCCGCCCCCCGCAGGCGACGCCCGCGACCTCGCGGCCCCGCGCCGCGCGGAGGAACGCGGAACTCCTTGCGGCGGCCCCCCGGGGCTTGACGGAGGAGCGGCGGCGGGGCCGGCGCGGCCGCGCGACTCCCGCGATGAGCGGCCAGCATCATCGCGACGTTCACCGCGACGCACTCGCGCGCCAAGCTTCGCGAACTCGGGGCGGGGCGCTGCGCGGCGCGAATAAGGGCAGCGCGAAGTGCGCCGCGGCGCTGAAAGCGCGATGAAGCGGCGAAGGGCGCCCGCGGGGGCGGGGGGGCGCCGGGGCCCCGCCCGAGGGGCCAGGCCGCCTACCGCGCGCGTTTCATGGGTGCTCGATCGCGCGCAACGTTGCCCGGCCCCAATGGCCCCCCCCCCCGCGCCCGCCCAGCGCGCGATAGTCACGCGGCGACGACTCCCCTGCCCCGCCCCAGTTGCCAGGCCGCCGCGACGCCGGCGCGAGCGCGCCGAGCACCGCAAAGGCGAGCGCTGGGCGGCGCGGCGCGTCGAGCAGGGCGATTGGATAGCACGGCGCGCACCGCGACGGCGGGAGAGCGACGGGGCGGCGCGCGATGTCCCTGGACGGGTCGCGGGGGGCCCGCCCCAGGCGCCAGGCCGACCGCCTCGCGAGCTGCGCGGCGCCGCGACCATTGGGGGCGCATCTCGCCCCCCGCCGCCCTTCCTTGGCTCTCCCCGCTGCCGACATGGCACAGTGCGACCGCGCCTATGGGGGCAGGCGACCGCCGGGCCCCCGGCCCAGCAGCCCGCGACCGAAGCGAGGGCGCGCGGGGTGGGCGACGAGTCGCGAACCAGGGGCCCCTGGGCGGGCCAGCGCCGTCGCCCAAACCCGACAGACTGGGCAGCGCAGCCGCGCACCCGGGCCTTCAACGCAACGCGCTTCGCCGGGCCGACCGAGCGAGGTCAGCGCCGCAGCCGCCCGCGCACCCGTCGCCAGGCGAGGGTGAGACGGCCGCAGAGTGCGCGCAGCTCGCGCCGAGGCAGACCAGCCACCCGCCACTCGGCGCGGTCGGCGCGCCCAAGTCTGCCAACCCAGTTGCAGGCGACGAGACGAGGGCGAAGGCGCCGCGGCCTCGCGGCCCCAGCTCCGCCCGCCAGGGCGAAGTCATCCAACTGACGCCGGTGCAGGGCGGAGCGGGGTCGCGCCACGCAACGCTTCGCGGCCGCCAGTCATTCGGCTGACCCCGACAGGGGGGCCGCCTGCGCGACCGGCAACGCGACGCTGCGTCAAAGCGTTACCAGACATTGGTTACCAGATCTCCGTCTTGACAGACTCTAGAGAGCACAAATGCTTGGAGCGACCTTCATCAGGCCAAGTCGCTGCCTCGGGGCCTCTCCCCAAAAAGGCACCCAGGCGTGCTCGGATACCGCGCGCCAGTGCTAGCCTCTCTTTGCTCTGAGCGCGCCGCGTCAACTGTTGGCACTCTTTCCGTTGCCCCAGCGCTGGGCCGCCGCGGGGGATGCCCCAAGGTGATTGGCGCGGGCGCCCGATCAGGCATGCCAGAGCGCGTGTAAAGCTGGTGCCTCTCTGCTTGCGGGCGTGCAGACGGGGCGGACCTCGCCCTTGTCACCCCATGCCGTTTGTGTTCTCCAGTCGCGGTCCTCGCAGACCGGCGCCAGGGGATGGGAATCCCACCGCCCCTGCTTTGCACAAGCGTTTCCCCCCGTCACAAGAGGTGGCCGCTGAGGGCGCTGGTACCTCGCGCGCCTGGACGGACACTCCGCCCAGTTGCGATGTTGTTGTTGTCGTTTTGTCTCTCGCTCTCTCTCTCTCTCTCTCTCTCTCTCTTTCTCTTTCTCTATCTCTATCTCTCTCTCTCTCTCTTTGTTCCCTCTCTCTCTCTCTCTCTCTCTCTCCTCCTCCCTCCTTCTCTTCTCGCTCCCCCCTTTTCCCGTTTCCTCGTATTCCCTCGTCCTCCTGATGCTGCTTTTCCGACCTGCTCGGGCTGCGGCGGCGTTTGTGTGCAGTGTTTTTTGCCCCCGCGCCCCCCTCACCCGCCGCTCGCCCCGCGCCGCGCCTTCCCTTTTCTCTCGTCTTCCCGCCCCCGTCTCTCCCACTCCCTGGCATCGTTCGGACGTGTACATTTGTTCTCGGCGAGGACCATCAAGGAGCATCTTGGATCATCTAGCAAAATAGCACGCACGAAACCGACCAATGCACGGGGAATGGACGTCCGAGCGATGGCAAGACTCCCCTTCCACCTCCGACTCTTCCTCTCCCTCGGTCAGGTAGCAGACATGGGCATGGTCTGTCTCTTTTTTCCATATATTTCTCTCTCTCTCTCTCTCTTTCTGTTTCTCCCGGTCTCCCTTTTTGATTCCATGTGTGTATATTATATATCCCTCTGTGTCTCCATCTTTTCCTTTCTGCCCCTCCCTCCCTCGCCCGTCAGCGGAACAGGACTGGCTCGATGAGCCGACGACCTCGGACCCGACGTCGGGCGGGGTCTGCGTGGCCTGTGTGCCGGTCTCTCGCGTGGCGTTCGTCTTGCCATGTCGTGCTGATGCCGTGCGGGGCCGTGCGAATGTCGTGCTGATGCGTAGCGCGTGCATGCGCAGTGTTGTGCGAGGCTGATCGTGTGCCGTGCTGCGCAAAGCTCTCGGCATTTTACCTTTAATTTAACGTGGCGCCTTGAAGTCTTACGCTGTGTTAGGTCGTGTTGCTTGGCATCGGTCGGACGTGTGCTTTTTTCCTTCGGCGAGGACAATCGAGGAGCATCCTTGATCATTTGGCGAAAAACCACACACGAAACCAAACAAACACAGGGAATGGACGTCCGAGCGATGGCGAGGTTCTGCGGCATGCGATTCGGTCCAAGGAGCATGCATGTCGTGCTATGCTGCGCCATGCTGTACACTTCCACGCTACGCCATGCCACCCTGAACAATGCCGTTCACTGCGTTTGAGGGGTTATACAATGGTTGCGTGGCAGTATCTGCTAGGAGGTGCTATGCTACGCGTGGCCGTGCTGCACAATGCTCTGCGCTGCATCGCATCCCACCCCGCTGCATCCAGGAAAATTAGTACCCCAAATTGGGTTCGCGCTGGGTTCATTTTGACGAGTTGCCTGCACGCCCGTTCGGAGGACGTCTCCCCCTTCCGCCCTTCCTCACTGCATGCTGGGGGCTTGTCAAGACCCCCCCGATCTGGGGACGTGCCCTCGAGGACCTCAAGGAGTGCTGATATGCGGATATCCCCCAACCTCAGGACAAGGCGGTACGGAATTGATGTCCAACGCAACCTGAGGTCCTCGGCAGGGTGCGTTTCGATCCGATCGACTCGATTTGATCCGATGCCGATTTCGGCCTGTCAGATCCGATTCTATTAGGGTGTTCCGGCGATCCGGTGCGGCCTGGTGCTTGCATGGCGCTGTCGCGCGTCTTGGCGCGCTCCACCCGATTCGATTCCGAGTCCTTGCGGGTCCGCCTCGATCCCGCGCGCGGCCCGATTCCATTCGATGCCCCGACGCGGTGCGGCTCGATGCTGCCCTGCCTCCCACCACCCCTGGCTTCGCAGCCCAACGAGGCCAGGGTCCGGGCGCAGAGGCTGGCGGGCTGCGGCCACTTCCTGCAGTTCGCCGCGCCTGGGCGTCTCGCGCGGCTGCTCGAGGAGGTCGTGGCCGACGCCGCGCGCGAGCCAGAAAAGACGTTCCTGCTGCTGCTCCTCCTCCCTCTCCCTCCCCTCCTGCTGCTGCCGTTCCTCTTCAAGGCTGATGGCAAACTGGTCTTCCGACGACAGTGCGGCCACCGTCTCCTCCACTTCTTCTTCTTCTTCGTCCACCACCACCTCCTCCTCCTCCTCGTCCTCCTCCTCCTCCTCCTCCTCCTCCTCCTCCTCCTCCTCCTCCTCCTCCTCCTCTATGTCTTCTCTTGTGGTTGCCCGCGGCTAGACCCTCGGGGAACCGTGATACTCGACTTCGCCGGAATTCGGGTCTGCCAACGTTTTTTGACGGGCCCGTCTTGTATTTTGTTGTTCAAGTTTTCTCAGGATACTTGAGGCGGAAGCTGGCGTCAATAGTTTGGATTGGGTCTCGTAATTTTCTTGACTGCTCCGCCAGGCTAACCCGAGTCCCCCGAACCTGAGTCTTACGTCTCCCCGATATTTTGGCGTGCATCACAGACGACGAGCACATCGAAATAAACAAACTGCATGCGCATCAACGTTGTGCACTACGCGGGGTTTTTGCATCTGCTCTGGGCCCGGCTGGTGGCTTCTCCGGCGCCGCCCCTGGCGCGCTCCGCAGGCCAGGGACGGGGCGTCGATCCGAGAAATCCTCGCGGATTTCCAAGCGCTTGTGTTTAATACAGTTTCGTCTCCAGCTGATAATCGTCCACACCTTCGGATGCAACTCCTGGGAGGTCAAATTCTTTTTGTTGCCCTTGTCCGAAATCCGGTTTAATCTGGCTTTAATCCGTTCAATCTGGCTTTATCCCGCTTGATCCGGCGTGATCCCGCTCAATCCGCGGCCTCCTTCGGCGCAGCAGCCTCTCAAATGGGGCCTCATCCTCCGTGCTCCTTCCGACGAAGACCTCCCAGCAGTTCCCTCCTAGCACACCCATGCCCTCGCGGTGCACGAGGCGCGACCCCAGGGAGGACTCGGTCGCCTGGATGCGGCCCGAGGCTGGGCTTCCGCGCAGCGCGCGTCTTGTGCCTGCAGGGCCGCGGCCGAGGGGCGCAGGGCCGCGAGGCCGTGGAGGCGGGCACGCGTCCTGCCCCCGACGCCTCTTCGTAGGGCCAAGTCGGGCCTGTCCCTCTACAGGAGGGAAATGCCAAAATAGTCAAACAATAGCATGGGGGCGATTTTTTTGGTTTCAAAAAAATTCAAGAATGTTGGGTACCTTTTGACTGTTCTTCATTTGTCGTCCCAAATCCGCCTGTAGGCGGACATGCCCGAGCGCAGGCATGGCCCCGCCCCACCCCTGAGATCCGACGCTCCAGCAAAAATTGGAGCAGGCGGTTTTTGGCAGTTTTCGGCCTCCAGGGGCCCTCGCCGGGCCTCGGGAGCGTCAAAAAACGACTCAGGATGAAAAAGCGGTCCCGGGGAAGTGGTCCGGACTTCCTGGGTCCACGCACCAAAAAAATTGGAGCAGCTGGATGTCTGGGTCTGCAGGCGATCGCAAACATGGATCAGGAGGGCGTGGATTAGCGACGGGTCTTGCTTCCATGGGGAATCGCGGATTCCCGCCGCCGAGCGAGGCGGCACCGGCCGCATTTTGGGGAAGGCGCCTCCCCCGATCCATGGATTTGGTGACCGCGCGCCAAATCCATGGATCGCTAATCCATGTTTGCGCGCCCCCGACCACTGCAGGTCCCCTGAGTCCCAGCGTCGGAGCAAGAGCTGCAGCCGCGAGAGATCACAGTTTCCATCATCTGGTGGCACGCTCGCGTGGCCTGTTCGTCCGTAGGGCAGTGGGCGGCCTTTGGCTTCGTGCTCGCTGGTGTGCCCACCAAGACACCTGTGGCAAAGACTTCGGGCGGTGGGGCGTATGATCATGTGCAATCTAACTTGCGTCTGGGCCCCCGGCCGGGCCCAGGGGCGGTACACTGTCACTTATTCACAATTCTCCCAGACCCACCCCACAGGTACGAGCTTGTTTCTTTGTTGCATTGTAGCCCCCTCCCCTGCTCCCCCCCCCTATAACGTAACGCCCCTCCCCTCCCAAGTGCGCTCCGGGCACTGCCACCGTGCGCATCGGGCCCATGGCGGGGGGGAGGCGTTGCATTATATCCCCCCCGGCCCCTGCCCCCCCCCCCATAATGCCCATTATCGCCGAAAATAAACGCGCTCTACCCATCTTGGCCCCCTGGGAGTCCGGGAGCTCTCAGAGCATCAAGGGGCGTCCCTCGGCGGTCTCAGAGGACGCCCAGAGGCCGCCAAGAGGGTTTTCAAGTGGCGTCGGAGAGGCAGCAGAAACCTTCCATATTCAGCCACGCGCAGCGGGGGGTGGGGGGAGGGCTTCTTAGAAGCACCCCTGCTTCTTAGAAGGCGCGGGCCTTATCTGTAGATGTAAGGCCTTCGCCTTCTAAGAAGCAGCCTCCTTCTAAGAAGCCCTGCCTTATGCGCGCCGCCGAAGCTTTCCAGATGCCCCCTTCGTGGCTTCTGGACGGTCCCAGATAGCTTCAAGATGGCCCAAGAACCTCCAAGAGCGCTCTCCAGAGGGCCCCCCACAGCAAAAGTCAATGATGTTCCATCGATTTTTCAATGTTTGGGAGGTTCTCGATTTTCGAGCGTCCGACGCTCCAAGACGTCCCAAGAGGCTCTCAAGACCGCCCCATACGGCCCTCGAGGCCCCTCAAAGGGCCCCAACACGGCCCCCACGAGGCACCCAAGATTGCCCAAGTGGGCCCCAAGACGGCCCCAAGAGGGGCACGAGATCGGAACCACGAAACGACAATTCGAGCCTTCTGTCCCAACGTGAACCCAGGAGGCCCGAAGAGGTCCCAAGAGGCCCCTAAGAGGACCCCAAGAAGCCCCCCAAGACGGCCCCCAAGAGGCTTCAATACTGCCTCCACGAGGCCCCCGAGAGGCCTCCCGCGACATTCCAACGAACATCCTAGAAGCTTACAACCCGCAGCCCAGGCACGGCGGCAGGATTTACCGAAGGCAATCAGAAATGTGTATGCATGTATGTCAGAGTGAGGGGGCCGAACGGTCATTCATTGTCTCTGGGTTCGTGGCTGAATAGGGAATTTGTGGTGAGAATTCTGCTTGTTGCGGTGTTGTTGGTGTTTGTTGCCGTCGTCCCATCCGCGACCCACCCGCGACCAACCCCGCGACCCACCCCGCGACCCACCCCGCGACCCACCCCGCGACCCACCCCACGACCCACCCGCGACCCAACCAGAGACCCACCCGCGACCCACCCCGCGACCCAACCCGCGACCCACCCGCGACCCACCCCGCGACCCACCCCGCACCCACCCGCGACCCACACCCCGCGACCCACCCCGACCCCCACCCGCGACCCATCCGCGACCCACCCGCGACCCACCCCGCGACCCACCCGCGACCCACCCCGCGACCCACCCTCAAGGTGAGGAGAAACCACCCAGACCCGACAATTGATGTTTACTAGACGGCCTTTTGCGTTTAGTAAACAGCCCTGCCCTGTTCGATTCATTCCTTGTGTGTGTTTACTAAATGGCTTCGCTTGTCGGGGTGATTATTATGGGGTGGATTTTCTGTCCGACCAACCCGCGACCCATTTGCGACCCACCCGCGACCTACCCCCATTGGTTTAAAGGAAAAAGCGGCGCCTGTGGCGGGCTCGTCGCCGTGCCCTCCCGAAGCCCGCGGGCCCCGCCCCCGTCGCCCTCGCGAGCCACGGCGCGGGGCGCGGAGCTCGACCTGAATGGGGCCGGGGACCTTCGCGTGACAGGCGCAGGACGAGGTGCTCGGCTTGCCGCAGCTACGGGCACCAGGCCAAATACTGCCCCGACAGGAACAAGACGCGTGGCAAGCCGCAGCCCAATGAGACGACCTCCTTCGCGCTCCTCGAGCTGGGCGAGCTTGTCTTCCTCCTGGGCGACGCGAACGGCATCTGGGCGATCCTGGACTGTGGGGCTACCCGGAACCTCATCGGGGTCACGATGGCGAAGTTCTTCGCCGACGGCATCAAAGGGGAAGATCGACGCCGAGTTCGACCTGGCCGAGACGACGCGATTCTTCACGTTTCGCGATGGCCAGCGCAAGAGCCCCATGGGCCCCATGGTCGGCAACATCTTTCTGGGCGACGGCCAGGAGAGGATCGAGATCTCCGCCATGGAGAATGACGCGCCGCTGCTGATCGGGGTGGACATTTTGGGGCCTGACCACACCAGCGCCATGATCGACTGCGGGAACGGCAACCTCATGCTGCCTAAGATCTCGAACGACATCTACCAGCGTCGGAAGATGCCGAGCGGACACCTGGCCATCAACGTGGCGACGCCGACTTGGTGGCATAACATCCCGCGGGCCCCCCCGAGCTTCTGGGAGATCGCGAGCCGCCGCGCCCTGGGGGGCGCGCGCGGCCCGCCTGAAGCCACGGGCTCGGCCGAGCCTACGGCGGACGAGGCGACGGCGCCCTCGAGCTAGGGGCAGCGCCCCTCGGTGGGCCTGGGAAAAAAACGTCTCCCACGCGCCCATTGGGGGGGGGGGGCTCGGGGGAAAGGGGGCCAGGACAGGCCCGAGGATAATTCAATTGCTCCTGAGAAGCTTCCTAGAGACTCAGATGATCATAAAGGCCCTCTGGTATCCTCGAGCCCCTTTGGTACCTCGCGGAGACCTCCGAGTTCCCCGCGGGCTACTTCGAAAACATCTACGCCGTCATGGACTCCAGGGGGTGCGACATCGGCGAATTCGAAACGTTCACCAGCTTCGCGGGCATCTTGGGAGACATCGTCGGGATTGCATAGGACTGGTTCGACAATATCGGAACCCCCGTCGACTTCGCGATATTGATCGAGTCTGGCATCGAAACAGAGAGCGCGCCCTCCAGAGCCACGCACCGACCCGGGCGACTTCGACGCGCGCCGAGCGCTTTCGGCTCGAAGAGACGAACAGTCAGGGATTTTCCATAACTATCCATATCCAGCGGATGGCGTGCCGCCGCGGCACGGGCGCGTCGCCTTCGGCTGTGCCGCCGCCGCCTTCGCCAGCA